ATTTAGCCTTCTCTCCCAGAGAATTCTGGTGCCCCACCAAACAACAAATCCCAGGATTCCATAGGATAGGGCCATGATAGTTGAAGTGGTGTCAAACTACATTAATTTTGCAGTGTGGCAACAGGCATTGGTTGTGCCTTGACTTAGCCAGTTTTCAGGGACAGTACGGAGAATAACATGCATTGGATCTGCATTGCCCAGCTATTGCAGCTTGATACCGGTTTAAATGTCATGGTGCCATGCTAAAAAATAATAATAATCCAGCTAGATAGAGAATATGGAAGAAAAGGAGGCTTTGTCAGAGGCTTTGTTAAATGAGGTATCCATGTATCTCAATTTTAGAGGAAACAGTCCATTCCTTACAACATCCCTATGAGGTATGACAGGATGAGAGAGTATGACCATCCCAATACAAAGCATTAAAATAAAGATACAGAGTTGTGTTGTTGTTTTTTTTAAAAAAACACACCATTAATCCATTTTAAAAAGTTAAAAACATGACACTTTAAAATTTAAACTATATTAAAAACTTGTTGGGATTGTAGTCCAGCACCTCTGGAGGGTGGCCTTTAGGGAGAAGGTTACTTTAGAAGGCCTCTCTCCATCTCTATCCAGAGAGTGTCTATGTACCTCCATCCAAAGTTGCTCTGTCACAAGGAAATGTACACAATCCTTCCAGATACTACAGCATTTGTTGTTGTTGTTGTTGTTGTTGTGTGACTTTTGAGCTATTTCCAACTTACGGCGTCCCTATCATAGGGTTTTCTCGGTAAGTTTCTTCAGAGGCATCCTTTGAGGCTGAGAGAGTGTGACATGTCCAGGATCACTCAGTGGGTTTCCATGGCCGAGCTAGGATTCAAACCTTGGTCTCCACAGTCACTGTCCAACCCTCCAACCACTACAGCACACTGGCTCATGGTACTTAGAGAAAGCTAAGTTTGGGCACAAGACAACAAATAAAGCAAAGTGAAGTTGAAGGCTTTCACTGCTGGCATGCATAGGTTTTTGTGGATTTTTTGGGTTGTGAGGCCGTGTTCTAGAAGAATGTAGGTATTCCTGACGTTTTGCCTGCATCTCTGGCTGGCATCTTCAGAGAATGGTGGCATGGAGGTGTGTGGGGTATCACACCTCCATGCCACCATTCTCTGAAGATGCCAGCCAGAGATGCAGGCAAAACGTCAGGAATACATTCTTCTAGAACACGGCCTCACAGTCCCCAAAACCCATAAAAACAAATAAAGCAAACCTTCATTTGGGGAGATCTCCTTCCAGCTACAAAGTTCACATACAGAGGCAGGGAGAAGGATGCACAGAACGTACTACTAACGCAGATGGAGGGCACAGACTTTTGCAAACCTCTTTTTTTTTTGTAGACCCTTTTGCAGTCTACAAAGAACTTCTGCATCCCCAAATTCACTTACTAGATTTTGAGGGGGAAAGGCTCACATCAACAGGAGGAGAGAGAACTCTCTCAGGGTGCTTCTACACTGTAGAAATTATGCAGTTTGACATCACTCAAAGTACTGTAGCTCCCTCCTAGGGAATCCTGGGATCTGCAGTTCTGCAGGATCTTTAGCCTTCTCTGCCGAAGACTGCTGGCGCCTCACTAAACGACAAATCCCAGGAATCTTTAGGATGGAAGCATGGCAGTTAAAAGTGGTCTCAAAATGTATTATTACTAGAGTGTAGCTGCACTTTTGGAAGGTGGTAGACTCTCCTTTTTTTTTTTTTTTTTGGAAGCCCTTAATATTATATCCACACTGCACAATTACAATAGTTTGCTATTGCTTTAACTGCCACAACTTCATCCTATGGAATCCTGGGTTTTGTAGTTTGGTGAGGCACTTAACATTCTCCTGTGCATTTTGCTGAATTACAGCATCAAGGTCTCACAGCATTAGAGACAGAAGATAGGACAGAATTGGAAGCATCTCACCAAACTACAAAGCCCAGGGTTCTGTAGAACGGAGCCACGGCAGCTCAAGTAGATATATCTGAAGCCAAGGTTGGGTGGCCATTTTTCAGGACTGCAAATTCCTGGATGATGCGGGGGTTGGATTAAATGATCATTGAGATCCCTTTCTGCTCTATGATTCTGTGACCACTACCCCTGTTCTCCAGACAGAAACTCTTTGCATTCATCCGCTGTTGGGTAGGCCACAATCCAGCAGGTACAACATCATCCAGGTGATTATTGCTGCCTACCAGGTGGTTATTAGCTGCATCTGTTGTATGAAGATTGCATTCGTTTGACAAAGGTCTGGCTTCCTCCAAGGAGGACCAACTCTTGCATCAGTCTAGTAAAGCTGAAAGGACAAGCGAGCCATGTGGGACTAGCCCATGCCACACCAGGGTTGCTTTATTTTCCTTGTTGCATGCCCTCAAGGCATTTCTGACTTATGGTAAACCTATCGTGAGATTTTCCTGGCAAGATTTGTTCAGAGGACGTTTGCCTCGGCCTCCTTCTGAAGCTGAGAGTGTGTGAATTCCCTAAGGTCACACACTTGGGTTTCCATTTGAACCCTGGTCTCCAGAGTCATAGTCCAATATGCAAACCACTACACCCTCTATTTTCTATTTTCCTAGAGGTGTGAAAAGGATGCATGCTACTGCCCTCCTTCCCCTTGTGCAATGGTTCAAAGAGTCCTAGGAGAAAGCAAGGCACTTTTAAAGTAAGAGTTGCGACTCCAAAGGGACACCCGATCCTGTCTTTTGGACACCCAGAGGGAGCAGATGGACACATACAATTTAATCTGTGAACCATATGTTTTTCACCCTGGTTCCAACGCTTTCGGCAAGCCAAAAGTAAAAATAACCCCTAAGTATATACAGTGGGCCCCTATTATCTGCTTCGGTTTGGTTCCAGGACTCCCCACAGATACCAAAATGCCTCATATAAAATAGCAAAATCAAGGTTTGTTTTTTGGAATTTACATTATTTTGGGGAATATTTGCAAGCCATGAATGGTTGAATACATGGACATGGAGGGCTAATCATATATATGCTTGCAATGCCAGCTCCGTTGTGCTCTTAAAGTACAGTTGGCCCACCACATTTGCACCTTTGACTTTTGCGGATTTGATTATTTGCAATTTTGATTCATATGTTCTCTCTAGGAATCTCTAGGTCCTCCAGCGCAAGTCTGCCAGAAGTTGACCATAGAGTTGTACTGAAGATCCTAGAGAAAACACTTTTCTGGGCATTTGTGGATCCTCCAACATGATTCTTTGGCCACTTCTGGCAGATGTTGGCCATAGAATTGCTCTGGAGGACCTGGAGATTCCTAGAGAGGTGTTCTCTTAGGTCAAAAGAATAGTGGGTTTTTATTTGAGGTTTTTCCACGTTCACAGGTGTCCTTCACTCCTAACCCCAGCGAATGTGGAGGGACCACTGTAGTATTTTCAATCTAAGCTTTGATAAGAGTTTTAGGATTTTCTTCTTTTCAATTCATATATTTTCTGGTGGTGGGCAGAATAAAAAAATTGCTAGGATACTGATGCGTAGAAATGGATTTGCAGCTCAGTACTGATTTCCTCCTTTAAAAAGAAATTGTCACTTTGAATCTGAATGTTAGGTTTATATGTAATGAAGAATCCTATATGCCTACCCCCTTTGAATGGGAGAATGGAAAACCAGTAACAATTTCTTTTTTAAAAGTGCCCAGGGAGAGAGCCATGCAAAGGGTACTTGAAATAACTGCAGCTAGCCATTCATGACCGTACCCTTTTGGATGGATCCCATTCAGGGGTGTGCGGGGGATGTGGAATGCACTGGGTGACACCAGAGAAGGGGGTGAACACTTGCTGGGGTGGCCAGTGCTGTCCATCTCAGGACCTCTTTGGCTGGACCCTTCTGCCAGCCATGGCTCCTCTGCCATCCATTGACTGTGGCCGCTGGTGGGCTGGCTGGCTTGCTTTTGCCACCCAGCAGCTACTCCCAGATTTGGCAGGTCTACTGGTTGGACAAGAAAGCAAGCCTCCTCTATTTTCTGCTTGCCCAGCAGACCCAGAAAAGCACCCTCTACCATGGCAGAGGTGGCCTAGTTGGTGGAGTGGGGCAGCTGGGGTATGTGCCAGGTGGCCTGCGGGGAATAACAGCATGTGTTACCCCACTGGGATGATACCGACCCTAGTGATACCACTGATGCCATTTAATGCAGGGGTCGGCAACCTACGGCCCATGGGCCGTTTCCGGCCCAGGTTGC